TCGACTGAGATAAAGAATAAAATGAAATATTAAAAACACGATGTATCTCGCTGCATTGCGCGAGTATGCTTCTAGTATAATATAAATATATATTTTCATTTTTTTATGAACTAAAACAATTTAAGAAAAAAATAAACATCTTAATTTATCTTCTACTTTTTTCTATAATATTTTTTGGATATTGATAAACATCGATTTTTTTTTAAATCAAATTTTACACATTTAATTCATTGACGATTTTATAATCTATCAATTGGATTAAATCTTATAAGTGAACACAAATATTGATGTTCTTCATTGCTCGTTTAAATGTAACTAAACACAAAAGATCCCAACAAAACCATTATAAGACGGTGATGATATTGTCTATATTAACATTGAAATTACATAAAAAATGAGAACTTTAAAATAGTTGATTTGATATTAACATTGATATATTTTTTTCAAATTTATATTTTATTTAAAAATAAAATCATTATTATTATCTTAAAAACACATAAAATTATATTATAACATCGATACAAATAAAAAATAAAATAAAACATTAAATTAAAATTTATATCAGTATATTACACGAGTTTTTAAAGAAAAAAAACCGAGGAGACGACTTAGGAATTTTTTAAAACCCAAAAGATTTGAAAATATTTTAGATTTTTATATTTGAAGTAACAAACGGTCCTCTGATTTCATCACTGTGCTTCGTAAAACCCTATTTTTTTATAGGGGAGTTGCATTTGATCTTCTTCAATCATCACTTATTGGAATTCTGGGTTTTTCCGTTCCTATTCGATTCTTCAAATGGGTAAACCGACCAAGAAGTCCGCCTCCAAAGTACAGTCATTGATATTATTCAAGATGAAGTTTCTTTCTGCTCTGTATATACGCGTGCCTCTGTAGTAGAAGTATTTATGTTTGATGAATCTATTTTGTTTTGATTTCGGTTAGGTTGATTCAACTGCTGCTGTTGTAGTTCCACCGGCCAAAACAATTAAAAAAGGTAGTTTCATTTGTTCTTGAATTATGCATTGTTCTTATGATATACACATGGTATATATGTGTGTGTATATAATTAGCGGTTTTGATTCTTAATCAGCAGATATCTGGGTGTCTGTCATTTTTCTTCTTATATTTCTTTCTTTTTGGGTTGTTTTGAATTTTGGCTATTAATATCAGAAGAATTTGAGTTACTTTGTTTAATCTGATTAGGTTTTTCTTTATTTTGGAACTTTGATAAATGCTATTTTTACTTCTTGTTTTTAGATTGTGGCTATGCTAGTTTTTGTGTGTTTTAATGTTGTGTCCTGTAAATATAGGCAAGAGAGACGCAGAGGAGATTATCGATAAGCAAGTAGCAAGTAAAAAGAAGCAGAAGATTGCCAATGCTGGTGTAGCACAGGCTGCTGAGAAAAAGACTCAGAAGAAGAACACCAAGAAAAGGGAAAGCAGTTCTTCAGACGCTGAGGATGAACCAAAGAAGGTCTAATTTTTTAATCATATTATCCTATTGGCAAAAATTGGAATTGCATTGATAGGTATCAACATAGAGATCCAAAAATTACATTACCCTATCGTCTTGTGAAAGGAAGCAAGATGACTTGTGCTACAATGACATTGCAATTATAAAATGACAAATGATAATAAAATCGACTGTTGATCAGTTCAATGATGGTGTGGACCAGGTTGTTGAGAAAAAGCCCCAGAAGAAGACTAAGAAAGAAGAAAGCAGTTCCTCAGAAGAAAGTAGTTCTTCGGAGTCTGAGGAGGAACCAAAAAAGGTTTAACTTTTTAATCATGTGCTCCTACTTTTGCTCATACTCATATGTTTTTCTTTTGTCACAAATTGGAATTGCATGCGTAGGGATCACATAAAGACCCATGATTGATAATAAGTTTGCCCTATTTTTTTGAAAAAAGAAGCAAGATGACTTGTGCTACAATGACATTGCAATTACAAAATGGCAAATGATAATAAAATCGACTAATGGTGGTGTGGACCAGGTTGTTGAGAAAAAGCCTCAGAAGAAGAACGCTAAGAAAGAAGAAAACAGTTCCTCAGAAGAAAGCAGTTCTTCGGAGTCTGAGGAGGAACCAAAGAAGGTTCAACTTTTTAATCATGCACTCCTACTTTATCTTATAATCGTATTTCTTTCTTTTTTTAACACATTTTAATTGCATCGATAGGGTTCTCATAAAGATCCATAATTAATAATACGTTTGCGGTTTGCCCTATCGTCTTGAAAAAGGAAGCAAGATGACTTGTGCTACAATGACATTGCAATTACAAAATGACAAATGATAATAAAATCAACCCTTGATCAGTTTAATGGTGATGTGGACCAGGTTGTTGTGAAAAAGCCTCAGAAGAACACTAAGAAAGAAGACAGCAGTTCTTCGGAGTCTGAGGAGGAACCAAAGAAGGTTTAACTTTTTAATCATGCGCTCCTATTTTCTCTCATAGTCGTATGTTTTTCTTTTGTCACAAATTGGAATTGCAGTCATAGGGATCACATAAAGATCCATAAATAATGATACGTCTGCCCTATCGTCTTGAAAATGGAAGCAAGATAACTTGTGCTACAATGACGTTGCAATTACACAATGAAAAATGATAATAAATCAACCTTGATCAGTTTAATTGTGGTGTGGATCAGGTTGTCGAGAAAAAGCCTCAGAAGAAAACTAAGAAAGATGACAGCAGTTCCTCAGAAGAAAGTAGTTCTTCCGAGTCTGAGGAGGAAGCAAAGAAGGTTTAACTTTTTAATCATGCGCAATTACTTTCTATCATAATCATATGTTTTTCTTTTGTCACAAATTGGTATTGAATCATAGGGATCACATAAAGATCCATAATTGATGATACGATTACCCTATCGTCTTGAAAAAGGAAGTAAAATAACTTGTGCTACAATGACATTGCCAATTACAAAATGACAAATGATAATAAACTCAACCCTTGATCAGTTTAATGGTGGTGTGGACCAGGTTGTTGAGAAAAAGCCTCAAAAGAAGAACACTAAGAAAGAAGAAAGCAGTTCCTCAGAAGAAAGCAGTTCTTCAGAGTCTGAGGACGAATTAAAGAAGGTTTAACTTTTTAATCAAGAGCTCTTACTTTTCTTATGTTATCGTATGTTTTTCTTTTGGCAGAAATTGGAATTGAATTGATAGAGCTCACATAAAGATCCACGATCAATAAAGCATTTGTCATAATGTCTTGAGAAAGGAAGCAAGATATCTTCCCAAAATGCTTCAATGACACTGCCCTTCCAGAATAACTAAATGATAAAATCAACATTTAATCAATTCAATGGTGGTTTGGATCAGGCTGTTGAGAAAAAGACGCAGAAGAACACTATGAAAGAAGAAAACAGTACCTCAGAGGAAAGCAGTTCTTCGGAGTCTGACGAGGAACCGAAAAAGGTAACTTTTGAACCATGAGACGTTACTCCTCCCTCATAATCATACATTTTCCCGTGGCAAAAGTTGGATTTGCATTGATAGATGTCATATAAAGATCTAGAAATTGGTGATGCATTTGCCTTGCCATCTTGCAAAACGAAGAAAGATACGTTCTAAAATGCTTGATCAAGATAGACTTGTACCTGAAAATCAAAACAGAAGCCTTTGAATTAATCTTACGTTCAACTTTTTATTTTACGGAGTATGTATATTGTTATCTTTATCTGTTATATAATAAGTCTTGTACACTAAATTTTATTATAAACTATTGTAAAGCTAGGTGTTAGGTAAGGTGAAACGAATGATGAGTTTCTGAAGATGGTAAATTTTTCCAAAAAAAGGTCTACAAGATTGCATTTGGCTAAATTGCATTTTCATGTTTTCTTGGGTCACGAGACTTCTGTAGAAACAAAGATGTTTGCCTGATGAACTTATGTTGTTCTTTTTGGCCAAGATAGATGTACCCTTTAAAGGAATTAAGGATCATCTTGAAAAGCTAATACTTCGGTGTATAATGCTGTGTTTGCTATCATTTGTTTTTGGGCAGCTTTGATATTTTTTTTGTTTTTCCTTCCTTGCATGTTTTTATTGAGTTCTTATCATCTTACAAATTATGGTATCCTTGCTGAGACATTATATTGACGAATCAAAAAGGTTGCGGCTGCGGTTGCAACCAAGAAGGGAGCTGGTGTGTTAAAGAAACCTGCCAAGGAATCAAGTAGCAGTGATGACTCTTCTGATTCCTCTGATGAAGTAAGTCGTCTTTACGTTGTTGTTCTAGAAGTTATGAAACGGAGCTACGCAGTCAAGTGACATTCTAGCACTTAATTGCTTACACATGGATTAGGCGGATGTTTTAGCAGATGAACAAGTGCTTTATTTTAATATATAAAAATAAGTATAATCACTATCTTATGTATACCCAGGAGAACTAAAATGTTAATACTACATTATTTTGTACAATTATTTGTGTAAATGGCTGTTTTCATTTTCCATTGATACAGTTACGTGGGAAGTATTAGAAAAAGTTACCTTCTAGTCAAGGAAGGTTGATTGATGAGCCTATTCGAGAAAAACTTTTTAATCCCCACTTTCAATCTCTGAAGCTCATAATTCAACATTTAGTTCCAAATCAAAACAGTGGGGGAATAGTAAATGTCGAGGAGGCTAATTAAGCGGCTTAACAAGTTGTGGCTGTGGGTGGACAAATAATACCTAGGAGGCTGCTTAGGCAGCATGTAAGGGGGCCTTTAGAACTTAGCTTTACGTAATTATATTCCTAGTCATTGAAGTGTGAAGCCTGTCTCGTAAGTTATAGAACAGTTTTAGTATTTTTATGCACCCTGAGGATCCCAAAACTTGTATGAAACTGTCCGTTAGCCCATTCGAAAATGGTATAACTGGAAAATTGGTGGGTAAGACCAAGGCTTCTGATGGTTTGGTTTGATAGTCTTCGGACAATAGTGAGTTTTCAGATGATGACGTAAGTTCCAGTTTGTGATATGTGGCTCCCACATAAAATTCATGAGCTAATGTCGGTTGTTTGCCTCACGTGATGCATGATACGAGTAGTTTACATGTTTTCTGTATTATGCTGGCATGTGTGTAGGAGGAGGCAAAGAACAAGGGAACTGCAGCTACAACAAATAAACCTGCTGTTGTGGCAAAAAATGATGCTGCTTTGGTTTCCAAGAACGAGTCCAGTGATGAGTCTGATTCTGAAGACAGTGAAGCGAGTTCAGATGATGTAAGAGAGACTTTTTATTATGTTGGATATGTTTTACCTTATGAACGCTAAGATACAACTATGGCATAGTACGGGAGGACTAGATTATTTCCAATCTATTTTCAGTTGGTTAAATGATGCTTGGCAAGTGCTAACTTTTCCTCAATCATGTAGAAGGTAATGTATCGGATAGGGGCATCATAAGAACTAATAAACGTGTGTGTGTGTATATATATATATCTTGGCAAGTGCTAACTTTTCCTCAATCATGTAGAAGGTAATGTATCCGATAGGGGCGTTATAAGAACTAATAAACGTGTGTGTGTATATATATATATATTGGCAAGTGCTAACTTTTCCTCAATCATGTAGAAGGTAATTTATCCGATAGGGGCGTTATAAGAACTAATAAACGTATATACATATATATGAATATATTCAGGATGATGTTATTGTGGCAACCCAACCAAAGAAGCCAGCATCTGGTGCTGTTAAAAATGGAGCTGCTTTGGTTCTTGCAAAGAAAAAAGAAAGTAGTTCTGAAGACGGTAGCTCGGAGGAGAGTGACTCTGACGAAGAGGAGGTATAGAGCTCTATACAAATGTCCTTTCTTCCTGTTCTTTTTTGTCAGTTTCCATCTTTGACGATTTAACAAAGTGGATGATGGATTAAAATAAATTTTACATACAGAATAATGCTAAAGTGACCAAACAACCAAACAAGTTGCCATCCGCCACTGCCAAGAAAGAAGAAAGTGAGAGTTCTGAAGACACTAGCTCGGAGGAGAGTGACTCTGACGAAGAAGAGGCATGTGGCACTATATATATGTTTTTCTTCCTGTTGCACTTTTTTGTTGGTTTCCATCTTCAAAGATGTAACAAATTCGGCAATGAGTTAATATAAAATCAATTTACAGAAGAATGCCAAAGTGATCAAACAACCAAACAAGTTGCCATCTGTCACTGCCAAGAAAGAACAAAGTGAGAGTTCTGAAGACACTAGCTCGGAGGAGAGTGACTCTGATGAAGAAGAGGCATGTGGCACTATATATATGTTTTTCTTCCTGTTGCACTTTTTTGTTGGTTTCCATCTTCAAAGATGTAACAAATTCGGCAGTGATTTAATATAAAATCAATTTACAGAAGAATGCCAAGATGGCGGCTCAACCAAAGTTGGGGGCCACTGTTAAAAATCCATCTGTTGCTGCTAAAATGGAGGATACAAGTGATGATTCAGAAGAAGATAGTTCGGATGAGAGTGATTCTGATGAAGAGGTATACTGATATGTTTCTCCTGGTTGCTGATATGCTAATGCTAATATTGATTCACGGGATTCAGCAACTTCTTTATTCTCATGGTGATCAAATTATTATGATTAAATTTTCAGGTTAAAGTGGGTCCCTCTAAAATGACTGCTGGAACCAAGCAGGTGTGTCCCTCTTATCATCTGCACATACAAGTACAGTGAAATAGAAACGTACTAGCTACGTTATATTTATAATATGTAAAGCTGTTGGTTTCTTCCCTACCTTTTGTGCACAGAAGCCTGGTACTGAAGAGGAAAGCTCAGAAGAGGGTTCATCTGATGATGAAGAGCCACAGAAGAAAAAGAGAAAGGTTATTCTCGTATTTGGCTTCTTTCAACTTATTTTGTTCTGTTCTATAGAAATGATGAGAACATCCTCTATATAAGAAGCCTGTGATTAAGTCGTTGGTTCTTTATATAATGTTCTGCAATGTGAGAATAAAAATCGAGAGGCCAATCTGAATGAAAGCAACCTAAAGTTATCATACATTTCGTCCCAAAATAAATGTCCATAATTAAAAATAACTTGCATATTTAAAAATGTGTTATTATTACACTTTTTTATCAACTAAAAGACGATTTTACCTAGGGGTGTTCATCTGAACCGCCAAAGTGCACAAGCCGCCCACACCGCACCACAAAACATGGTTTAGAACTTTTGCAGTGCGGTTTGCAGTTTGCATTTTTCAAACTGCACTATGCGTGCGGGTTACGGTTTTGAGTTATCAAACTGCACCGCACCGCATATTTTATATATAACACACATGTATAGGATAATTGCTAATTTGTGTAATACTTTTAGTATATTTTCTCCATTGTCCATTAAGAAGTCTAAAAGTTTTGGACTTTGTTCCAGAATATTATCAAATTCTAGCCCAATAATCCATTACACATTTTTAGGCTTTAAGCAAGCATCCACGATTTTATAATGAAATTTCAATCGCCTTCATTTAACTTCAATCGACGCTCTCTGAATTGGAATTTTTTATCTTTTTGGATGATGGTCACGTTATTGTTGATTTTATTATGAAATTTTAATCTTATATTTATTGGATTGTGGGTGTAATAGGTACAAACCGCATAAACCACATATGTGGTGCGGTTTGCGGTTAGGGAAAATGCTCAAACCACATATGCGGTGCGGTTTGGCTCGAAATGCGGTGCAATTTTTTGCGGTTTGAGTTATATGTGGTGTGGTTTGCGATCAGGGAAAATGCTCAAACCGCATACGCAGTGCGGTTTGGCTCTAAACCGCACCATGAACACCTGTATGAATTTTTTTATCTCATAATGAAGGCTAGAATTGGAATTTTGCAGTTACTTTTGAAAGTGGACACTTAATTTGGAACAAATTATAATCAAAACACACTTATTTTGGGATGGAGCGAGTCACATTTTAGGCATACTCAACTCTCAAGGGCTATAAAGTGAATTATATCCTCCCTGAGTTATCATGCATCTGATATTTGCATATTGCAGCCTTCTATTACAGAAGATGTAAAACCTAACACGAAAGTAGCAAAAGAAGAGAGCAGTGAGTCCGAGAGTTCTGATGAAGAGCCATCTAAGCAAAGGGTAGGTGAAGGTTTCAATCTATGTGAGTGATATGGACTGACGATTGGTTTTAGGTGTCATATGTTTGACTGTGACTTATTTTGCAGACTAAACGAGATGCAAAGAAAGCTAGCAGCAGTTCTGATGAGGAGTCTGAAGAAGATGATAGTTCTGAAGACAATGCGCTTCCATCCAAAACCCCGAGAAAAATTGTAAGGACCGTTGTTAAGATTATTATCGTTGTGAAATGTGTTTTTTCTACGTAAATTTCCTGGCCAAACTACCGCATTTCGTTGTGGTGTTATTTAACATCATTCACTCAGCATCCAACTAGTTTTCATGGTACTCATCAGCCATGAGACCCATATTACAAAGATGCGGCTGGGTGCAGACCTCATGCAGCATTGACTGTATCCTCGAAATATTGACCATGTATTTATGGGAATACGAGAATCAAGATACGGAAGGCCAATTTTGGTCTTTCTTTACCAAAAAAGTAAAATTCATAATTTGCAAATTGGGAACAAAGCTAAAATGAAAAAGAAAAACTTAATTGATTCTTTGAAAGGGAAAAAATGGGAGCACACAAGAAGTTATTCTTCTTCTTCTTCTTCTCATACTTTGGAGTAATATTGATGAAGTAAAAGTTTGATAAGACTAGTGTGTATTTAATTTTAGATATTAAATGTATAAATATATGCAAATCTTCTAAACGTTGCAAACCTGCAAACCAATATTTATGGAATTGATGAAGGTTCATTTATTAAGATGGAAGTTGATTAGAGTTCATATAATTATGATCAACACTTTATATTTGGAAACAATCGATATATTTATGAAACTAAATATTCGTTAGACTAGATGGACGGTTGAGAGTGGTTTGTATGGTTTGTATTTGATTGGGACTCTCTCTCTATATATATGCACAACCACATAAACTATATTGCACCCTTCATCTCTTCTATTTGCTTTTTGAGAACTTCTGGCAATCGCAGGGCACAGGTGTTGAAATGGTTGATGCTCCATCATCGGTGAAAGTGGTCAGTTCTATTTGCTTTTCTCTTTGTATCTCGTTAGCTATTGGGTGGAGTTTCAGTTGCATTAATGCACGCTAAAAACTGCAGCCTCAAACCCCGCTTACTCCTCAAGCCACTGGATCCAAAACCTTGTTTATGGGCAATTTAAGCTTCTCAATCGAAGAAGCTGATGTGTATGTAATTTTCGAGTTTAGTCTTTTGCTACTTTATTGTATATGTATCATTTCTGACAAGTACTTGATGCCATAGGAGACATTTCTTCAAAGACGCAGGAGAAATTATAGAAGTCCGCTTTGCCGTTAGAGATGACCGGTTTGCAGGTTTTGGGCATGTTGAATTTGCCACTGTGGAAGCAGCTCTGGAGGTATGTTCTGTGCTAAAATGTGTTATAGAAGTTCGTTTCCGTCTTGCAGCTAGATATATGATGTCAACAAAAGATACAATCAAACTTAAAATATTTACTCCCACCGTCCCAAAATAATGTCCACAATGAGAACGGCACACGATTTACTTTTTTATCCCTCGTCCCAAAATAAATGTCCACAATGAAAAAAGCACACAGTTCTAGAAATGTCTAATAATTACACTTTTTAATTAACTAAAGGACAATTTTAACCTTGATAATAAAGAGAAAATTTCTCCATCTCATAATTAAGGGTAGAATGGAAAATATTTGAAAGTGGACCCTAAATTTGGCACTAACCAAAATAGAAATGTGGACACTATTTTGGGACGGAGGGAGCAATGAATTTCTCCATCTGATAATTAAGGGTAGAACTGGAAAGTAGTCCCTTATTTTTAATAGTGGACACTTATTTGAGACAAACTAAAAGAAATGTGGATATTTATTTTGGGATGGAGGGAGTGGCATTATAATGTGGCATGATAGTAAATGATAAATCCTTACTAAATGTTGGTGACTAATAACTATATCTTCATTAATTCAGGCACTCAAACTAAACAACGAGATGTTACTAGGCCGTCCAGTGAGGCTCGATGTAGCGAAGGAAAGGGGAGCATATGCTCCCGGTAGCAGGTATGTTCTCTTGACAATATACAGTTTCATAAATTACTAAACTCGTGATTGTAAAGTTACGCCTATATGATTGTAGCAATGAAAAGCCTTACCAAAAGGGACAACAGGCTCAGGGGACCGTTTATGTACGCGGGTTTGATGCAAGTGACAGTTTTGAGAACGTAAGTCTATTGATCATAAACGTGATGAAAGCATAATCTTTGATATGTTTGTTCAACTCCAAGTCTTGGTGTGCTGAATTTGATCTCTGTTGCAGATTAGGAGTGCACTTGAAAAGCATTTTGGCAACTGCGGAGAGATTTCGCGGATGGCCATACCAAAAGATTACGAATCTGGGGCTTCTAAAGGGTTTGTACTCTTTTTTTATTTAGGTCTTGAATTATTTGGGTTAAGGCCTGGTTTAGTAACATTTACATTTTCAGTCTACATGCTACAACATAATCGGCTTTGTAGGATGCTAAATGTCTAAATATCCTAATAGACTCCTTCATAGGACCAAAAGCATTCTATCCATATCATAACATCTTTTATTAGGACGTACATGCTAGGACAAACGTTACACACGCAATACGTACAACCCTACGCACAACCCAAAAAACAAGAGAAGAACACAAGAATTTACGTGGTTCACACGATCAGATTGATCGTGCTAGTCCACGGGGGCAATTAGGTTTTTCTTTATTTAGTTGCTACAAAATGTTTACAAGTACAATGAGATTAATATATATAGACAAACATAATTAGGGTTATCTCCTAATCAAGGAAACTAGGGTAGAGACTAGGGCCGGCTCCTTTTGGGCTAGGGCCGGCTCCTTACTTTATGCCTCCTCCCTTTTGTCTAACTTAGTAGGCCGAAGCCTACATTCCAACAATCTCCCACTTGGAGGCTTCGAAACACGTTCACCTGCACTCCTTTGAACTTCTGTAAACACCAACCGAGCTTGAGCTCCCCTAGTTGCCACCTGCCTTCTCAACATTATTCCTGAAGGCCAGCTGAAGTCATACAAAACTTCAGCTTATCCAGCGTCACAGACTTGGTGAACATGTCTGCTGGATTCTTTGCACCTGAGATATTCTTCAAGTTCATCGTACCATCACTGATCAGTCCTCTGACAAAGTGATACCTCATCCAATGTGCTTTGTTTTCCCATGATAGATTGGATTTTTAGCAAGTTTCACTGCACTCTCATTGTCACAGTGTAACGAGTAATCAACTTGCTTTTTCCCAAGTTCTTCAAGAAAAGTCTTTAACCATACTAGCTCTTTACTGGCTTCAACAACTGCCATGTATTCAGCTTCTGTTGTTGATAAGGCCACACTTTTCTGAAGTCTGGACATCCAACTAACTGCTGTTCCTCCCACTRTAAAAATATACCCAGTAGTGCTTTTAAATGTCTTTTTGCATCCACCCAAATCAGCATCAGTATATCCTTTAAGAACTGAGTCTTTACCCTTGAAACATAATCCCAACTTTGAATTACCCTTCAAATATCTGAAAAGCCATTTGACTGCTTCCCAATGTTCTCTCCCCGGATTTGACATAAAGCGACTAACAGCCCCGACAGCATGGGCTATGTCTGGTCTCGTGCAAACCATGACATACATGAGACTACCAATAGCAGATGCACAAGGAACATTAGCCATATCTGCTTTCTCATCCTCTGATCTTGGAGACTGATCTTTGGTAAGCYTGAAATGACTTCCCAAAGGTGTGTTTCTGGGTTTTGTCTTCTCATCATTCATCTTGAATCTTTCTAACACTTTCCCGATGTATTTCTCCTGGGATAGTGTCAAAGAGCCATC